CAGGCAAAGCAGGTAAACACACACACACATACACATAGAATCTGAGCCCGACCTCACTGGAGACAGAAACTAAGGCCTGAGGTCAGGCGACAGAATGCCTGAGGAATCTTAAGAGCTGAGAAGCGGTCACCTGAGGCCTTCTCCTGAGCAGAACAGGATTCTTCAGGTTTGAGGATAAGCCTGTCTTATTCAGCAGAGCCATTACTATCCAAATTTCTTTCTCTCTTTTGTTTAAGTGACTACCTGTTTGAACAGACTTAAGATTTGACCCCTTAAATCAGCTAAAGATTTGACGGATCCTCTATGGAGGCCACACCCCTCATGGTCTCTGTCCTCAGGGAGCTGCAAATGTACCTGGGAAGCCAAATGACACCTGAAAATAATTTACAAAAAAATACACAGCAAAATCCAGTGGGAGCTGTTGCCTCTGTGACAGCAGGTACTCCAGCTGAGAGAAAGGGAGGTCTGTGGGATGGGGAGGCTTCAGGGTCCTGCAGGGAGGTGGATAGAGAATTCTAGACCCAGGTCAGAAATTCTCATAGCAGAAGGAATTAGAAAATTGTGATCATGGCCCAGCAGACCCAGAGCTCCTGGAGAGCAGGGACGGCGCCTAGAGCCAGTTTCTCCATGGCACTAGGCAGTTCATGAAATATGGGCTGGGCAGGTGGGTGAGCCCTGCAGCCTGGCTGACACTTCTGGGCAAAGGTTCCACTCTCCAGTCTGCCGGCCCTGTTTCAGTGCACTGCACTTCAGTCACCAAACTGGTTGGCTGAGAGGTGTTCCAGACTTTTCTATGATCAGTCAGCAAATCCTACTAACTCCATGGTTCAAAAGCCCTCAGATCCACTATCTCATCTAATGGTCAAGGTTGAAGGAAAAAAGTCTGAACTTGGCCGTGTCCCAGATCCACCACAGGCCACTTCAGCTGCACCAGACTGCGACTTGGACTTCTCTAGACCATCACATTCCCCCCTTTTCCCTGCAGGGTCTTCCCTTGGACTCTTTCCTCAGCCCCCAAACCCTCTACCCCACCTTCCAGTGAACTTGGGCCGTCCCTGGGACTCCCAGGTCAGGGAATTCTTTATCCAGAGAGAACAACGGAACTTTCCCTCTTGTATTCTTAGGACCCTGTTCAGTGCCTGTACATGCCTGTTGAAGAAACAAGTCCAGAAGCTTGGGGTTAACCGAAATGGACGTCTTATGCCATTTTTAACCCAAAGGCCTACTACTCACAACCCCTGGGCCAGAACACAGTCATGGCTGAGATGGAGTCCACAGGTTTCCTCTGCAAAGTGCCTTTGTTTATGGTCAGAGGGAAAAACAGGAAGAAAACACCATTTCTTGAAATCTTCATGATGCAGGCATCACAATAGAGCCGGGAGGGCCCACATCTCCCTCATCCGCTCGCCTGCCAACCTCTGCTGTTTTGGGAGGACTGGCTGTGGCACCCTCTCTGCCGTTATCTGGCAAGCTTGGGCAAGTTACTTAGAAAGTCTGGGAGCTTCCTCAACTGAGTGAATCGTGCTTGTGCTGCTGCCTCCCTGGGCTGATAGGTGAGAACAAAGTGCAAAGGCAGCATGCTGCAAAGAAATCACATTCCTGTGCTTCCCCAATTTGTAAAGCTGTTGTTTTTCACGTTAATCACAACTGTAACAGGGTTCATTTTCTTCCTGAAGTGATAAGGGTTAGAATTCTCCTCAAGCCCCTCCCAAGGCAACCCTTGCACTCTTCTCTACCTACTTCCACCTGCCTTGGCCTCTTTTTCTTCTTGAAGGAAAACTCCAGACACTGGCACTAAGTCTGAATTCATACTTAATTAACGTTTATTGCACAATTATGTACCAGGCACTTCCACAGTTTTTATGGAAACCTCGTTGCACCTCCTTGCTGTAAGAATTGATGAGGTTGGATCACGCAACAGAAAGACCAAGCAGAGGCTCACCCACAAATCAAGAACACTGAAAGGTGACCAAAAAATGTTTTCTGGAAAAATGATCCATATTGCCAAATATGTATCACACTGCTTTCAGGAAAGAATCGGAATGGTGTTGGACCTCTTCACTCTGTGTTGTGGGCTTCATTTTGTGTTTGTCTAATCTCAGGGGACTCCAACATCAGAGGATCCAAGCCCTTCAGCGCTAACAGCAGATACAGGTCTTCGGTGGCCTGGGTGGTGTTCTTCCTTCTGGCCGCAGATGAGGTGAGCGAGGCCCTGGGAAGGCAACTGGCTTACTGCACAGCTTCAGACTGACAAAGGGGGGCCTGCAACTTGGTCTGCTGACTCTGAGCCCAGGCAGCACTGGTCCCAGGATGCCACCACTGTCACCGGAGCTCTGCCTGATGACTCACAGGGTAGAAGTGGTGACCAGATCCAGGAGGCCCATGGGCTCAGCAGCTGCCAAACAAGTGTCACCCTGGGAGGGTGGCCTCTGGGGAGGGGAGGCTCTGCTGCGGGCCCTGGATGGGTGCCCCTTCTTCTCTGCTGCACTATAGAGTATTGCAATGCGGCCTCTACCACATCCCAAAGGGACCGTGTCTGGGGGAATCCTGACTGGACAGAGAAGGAAACAAGCCTTTTGTGGGGTCCTAGAAACAAGCACATTTCCATTTTGAGCATTCTGTTTCCAAGTCTGCTCGTGGGGGCACAAGGAACTGCCTGACACTGCCAGCCTGGCTCTCTCTCTCACCTTCCACTAAGGGCAGAGGTACTCTGCAGAGCTCTCCCTGCATGCCACCTTGTCACCTGCACTTCCTCTACCTACAGGACAGAAGTAAGACATAAAATGCCTGGGTCCTCTATGAGGACTCAAAGCCATGGCCTCTAGTCCATCTAGTTGTGAGCACATGCTCACAACTGTGCCATGCAGCCCTGTGCCCCTAGAGCTTAGAAAACATGCACCAAAGCAATAGGCTCAAACTGGGCAAGCTTATAGTGTAAAGAGCCATCAAGGAGCACACAAGCTGACGATTCGCTTCAATTATTGCCAACATGATCTGCTGGGGCAACCTGGCCTTTGGGAAACATTTCATTAGCTCCCTCTCAAAACAATTTGTTCCCTAAAGTATTATTCCACATCACACATTCCATGTTTCTGCTCTTAGGATGATTCTAGAAGCATGGCTGGCTGTTTTAAAATCCTTGTAAGAGCATACACAAAGGTCTTCCGTGGTTCCAGAGACCCACCCTACGGAAACACCCCCAAGCTCCTTTAAATCCTCAGGGCTGGGAGACAGAAAGACTTCCAAATACCCAGGGCGCCTGTTAGTTAAAAACTAATTAAAAAAAAAAAAAACCAAACCCAATAAACAAGAGGAATTCTAAGACTCTAGTTAATGATACCTATGCTTAATTATTTCGGAGGGAAATATACAGATGTCTGCGACTTACTTTGAGATGCAGAAACAAAAAATAAAATGGACTGTTGGGGGGACAGATATGTGATGACAGACAGGTTTACAGCTAACAATAAGATGTTAACTGTACATTCCAATGTGGTGGTCTATGGGTGTTCACTACAAAATTCCTTCAACTTTTCTGTAGGTTTCATATTTTTCATCATTAAACGGGGAAAGGAGAGGTGGAAAAGTCGTCTGAGACTGGTAAGTGACAAAGAATAACTTTTCTCGCTAAGGGCAGAGGGTAAGGCAGCGCTGGCATGCTTCTCTCCACCCAACTCTTACTCGGCTGCAGGGGAAGAAGCAAAGTACCAAGGAGAGCGGTCATATTTGCCTAGATACCGCCCTGCCCCGCATCATGCCACAGAAAAAAATACAAAGCTGGTATAAATGCGATGGAACGTCCCTGCCACGGGCCCACCGTCCTCCTCACCCTGGGACAGAGGTTCTCAGTCCCAAGTGTGCCCGGAAATAATCTGGGGAGCCTATTGAATACAGATTCCGGGGCCACACGCCGCCACCACCGATTCAGAAGCGCAGGGAGCGGGCCCTGGGAATCCGCCCGCTGAACAAGGGCCCCCGGTGGTTCTGACGCAGAAGATCCCAAGTCCACCTCGGAGAAACTTACGGCCTCTTCCTCCTCCATCTTACCTGACACCTGTTGAGAGTCCCCCCCCCCCCCCCGGAACCCGACCACACCAAGGCCCTCGACTGCGCGAAGCTGGCCCGAAGCCAGGCCAGGCCGCCGCCTCCCCCGGGCCCCGGAGCCCGCGGGCCCGGCGCGCCGAAGCACCACATCCCGACTCTCACACGTCGGCGAGCCGGGCGAGGGAGGGCGGGCGCGCGGCGGGCTGCCCCGGCATGGCCAAGGTCACCTGCGGAGCTCGGCGGGGCGGCTCGGTCTCGGGGACCCTCCGTCCGACCCCCCTCCCTTGAGGAAACAGCCCCCGCCCCTCCCCTCCTGCTTTTTCTCCCGCTGAAAAATGGAGAAGGTATTCTTCCACAACCTTCCCTCACAGAAAAGCATGTGGAGGCGTGATAAGCGGGACCCGGGGCCAGCGCGCCGGCTGTGCCGGGCTGACACCTCCGAGGCCCGCAGCTCCGGCGCCCGCCCGCGACCCTGGCGGAGGCTGTCGCCGCAGCCCCGCGACCGCAGCGACATCGAAGTCCCCAGGGCCGGGCCGGGTCTCCGCAGCGCCCTAGAGGAGGACGGCCCCGCTACGCTGCCCCCCGCCCCCGCTTTTACCTCGAGAAGACGGGCGCCCGGGGCCGGCCGAACGCCGAGCGGAGCTCGAGACCCGCCAGGCGATGGGCGAACCGGACCCTCACTCAGCCCCGCGGGGCTTTGCGCGCACGCCGCTCCCCACCGCCCCCCGCCGCCCAGAGGCCTCGGGACATGTAGTCCGATACGGCGCCTGCCGCGCGTTCTGCGGGACGAGCGAACTACAGGGCCCGGCATGCACCGCGCCAGCGCCGCGGGCGGGGGCGGGGAGGGGGCTCGGCGGCCCGAGGTCACGCCCCGACCCGAGGGGCGCGGGCTCCCAGCCCCTCGAAAGGCTGAGCTTCCGCTACAAACCGTCTCTGAATGCGCCGAGGCGGCTCACCGTTTCCGCGGCCCCGCGGCGGCGGCCGCTGCAGCAAGAACGGCCGCCTCGGCAGCTTCTGTCAGAAGGAGGCGGGTTGGCTTTGGAGCTGGGCCGAGGCACTGGTCGTCACCGCGACGGGCGAGGCCTCGCGAGGCACGTGACGAATCCCTGTGACGTCAGTGGGAACGGGGGCGACTTGACCTGGCGCTGCGCCAGACCAGGCTGAGCATGTGGGAGGCTCTCGAGCTTGTTTGTCGACGGAAGGGGAGCCTGGAGAATAGGGGACAGGCCCTGTGAGCTTTCCCTCCCTACCCCGCCAGCACCAGGGCGTCAGCCAGAGGAAGGCTCACCTTCCTTCCTTCCTCTCGGGCGGCATTTGTTCCTTTATGCCACAAATACTTATTGAGCTCAGGGCTGTGTATGAAACTGTGAACGATACAGTCACTGTCCCTGCGCTCAGGAGCTTGCATTCGGACATTGTCCAAGTAAGCCACGAGACACTCAGGGCCCTGCAGGAATGTGAGGGATGCCCAAACAGAGATTGCGGGATGGTGCCTCTAGAAAAGGAGGTTAGAAAGGGCCTCTCAAAGGAGTTGATGGTGAGGCGGAGACACGAGATAGAAAAAAGAAGGCATTCCAGACAGAGGGACAGGCTTGGGCGAGACAGTCACCATAATGAGGATGTTGGAAGAATAGTTGGATACAAATCATGTTGGGCCTTGCAGGGCATTGTAAGGAATTGGGATTTATTTAGTTTTTTGAGACAGGGTCTCGCTCTGTCGGCTAGGCTGGAGTGCAGTAGCGGGATCACAGCTTGCTGCAGCCTCAACTTCCTGGGCTGAAGTGATCTTCCCACCTCAGCCTCCCCAGTAGCTGGGTCTACAGGTGCATGCCACCATGCCCAGCTAATTAATGTTTGGGGGGACGAGGACTCTCTGTGTTGCGCAGGCTGATCTCAAACAGTCCTCTGGCTTAGACCTCCCAAAGCACTGGGATTGCAGGTGCATGCCACCAACCCTGGCTGGAGTTGGATTGTATTTCAAGTAGAATCTACTTGAAGAGTTTTTAGTAGTAGAGTTGCTGTTGAACTTTATTATTAATGGGTTTGTATTTGCATATTTGCTGACTCACTAATGTTTATTTCTTTTTTCCTTCTTGTTTTTGTCTTTTAATTTTATTTCTCTATCTCATGAATCTTTGTATTCAAACGCAGAATTATTTCACATTTCCAAGGAACTACCTATCCTACTCCCATGGTCTCTTCTTCCAAATCACAAAAAAGACAGAAGGTTTCCAATGGTGTGCCGGCCATTCCGGGCTGATAACTCCAAGACTCACAGCCCTGGTGCCTGCCTGTGACCCTGTTGGAGGCTGTCACCACAACTCTGCCACCGCAATGACATCGAGTCCCCAGTGCCTTGCCTGGTCTCTGTTGTGCCAAGGGGGAGCAGACTCAGTGCTACACTGCCCGCCCCCTCACCCCCGTTTTACGCCGAGAAGCCAGGTGCCCAAGGTAAAAGAGCAGCCTCTTAACTTTTGAAATGGATAAACAGAAATACATATGTCATCAATATCATTCATGAATTTAGATGTTGAAGCTAATTAAATCTTTTACTAAAAGACATAATGTTTGAAAATCGCCAAAGTTAAACCTAGATACATCTCCAAGTCACCCAGTAGAACAGGAACCCACAGGTGGTGTACACTGTGCTCAACCCACGGTGGCCCTCCGCTGCTTAGAACCCTGACTGCACTCCAAACGCCGAGTGAAGAGTGAGCCTCATGTCACATAGAGCAGGAGAAACTGCTGGACGTGGCCCTGGAACATGCACTTTTCTTTCTTTTTTTTTTTTTGAGTTGGAGTCTCACTCTGTCACCCAGACTGGAGTGCAATGGCCGCTCCTGGCCACCGCAGCCTCGACCTGCTGGGCTCCGGTGATCCTTCCGCCTCAGCCTTCCAAGTAGCTGGAATTACAGGCGCACACTACCACGCCAGGCTCATTTTTTGATTTATTGTAGAGACTGGGTCTCGCCAAGTTGCCCGGGCAGGTCTTGAACCCACGGGCTCAGACAGTCCACTCACCTCGGCCTCCCAAAGTGCTGGGATGACAGGTGGAGCCACCAAGCCGGCCAGCATGCACTTTTCCTGCCCCACCCATCATGCTGACTCTCTCACCCAAGCCCATCCCTCTGTCTGGAATGCCTTCTTTTCTATTTCGTGCCTCTACTTCACCATCACCTCCTTCGAGAGGCCTTTTCTAACCTCCTTTTCTAGAGGTACCACCCTGCAATTCTCTGTTAGAGCATCCCTTACTTTCCTGCAGTTGCCCTGGCTGCAGTTCCTGCTCAGGCTCCCTCTCCCTCCTCTCTCTAAGAGCCTCTTCATACAGGGATGGGTCTCGCCTACAGGGAAGTGGAATCTCTCCTATTGACCCTGGCTGAATGTTTTAGGACCTTCATTTTGCTGGTTTCAGTGTGGGCTCTTGGACCTCACAGAAACTCATCGTGTTCAGAATTATTGTTGGTAGGTCGGGTACTTTTCCTGCACCCAGTCTTTGGTACGGAGCTTCCCGGGGTCCCCATAGATGCAGTGCTCCCTCCCTCCTTGGGCACACCCCATCACACTTAGCACTTTCCAGATGACTTCCTCTGGAGCATAGTTGTCTTCAATGAAGATCATGCTCAGCAAGTTTATCAGGAGGCCAGCCTTGGCCTTGCTCTGGTCATTCCTCAGCATGCCTAGGGAGGAGAGGCCCAGGGAGCTGAGAAGGATGTAGCAGTGGCCAGTGGGGTTCACTTCCTTCCCATCATTGCCAAAAACCAGTCACATATACTTGGAGCTTTGCTGAAGATTCCAGAGAAGTTGTCCTTGTAATTTTTGATGACACTATTCAGGATTTCTACCTTTGTGATCAGCTCCATGGTTCAATACTTGTGGAGCGAGAAATGAACCAAATGAGTCATCTTCCCATCTAGGGCCTCTTGGAACAAGGACTCAGGGTCAGGCAGGCTGGACAAGGGGCTTGGCTCCACGTGTCTTGGCTACTGGAGCCCTCATCAGACTGGCTCCATAGAGTGGAGGCAATGGTGCTGAGAAAGGAGGAGCCTCCTTGAATACTCCTGAGAGGTCTCAGTGACCCAACAGCAGGCACTGCTGTCAGGGCTCCCGGGAGAGGAGAAAGCTGCCTCCTCTTTCTCAGTCTTGGGAGCCTGCACACCCACAAGGCCTGATGCCTCTTTTTGGGCCTGAAGACCTTCCTCAAGCTTGCAGTGCTGACTAACATTTATCTCTAACCCCAAAATCAATACTTGTGGTGCTTTCTCATTCATTCATGGACATAACGATCCTGCACATTCTCAGCTGAGGTCAAATGAGGTAATACTCACCCAGCATGGTGGCACCCGCCTATAGACCCAGCCACTTAGGAGGCTGAGGCAGGAGGATTGCTTGAACCCAGGAGTTGGAGCCTACAGTGAACTGATTGCACCACTGTACAACAGCCTGGGTGACAGAGCAAGACTCCCATCTCTAAGAAAAATTATAATAAAGCAACACTTTCTACAAGTGTTCTTTTATGTATAGTATAATCTTTTTCACATTTTTGTACATGGTTGTTGGTAACTTTGCTGTTTAAAATGGTCCTAACTGTAGTGTTGACATGCTGTCTAGGTTTCCTCAGCACAAGAAAGTGGTGATGTGTCTTATAGAGAAAATACCAGTGTTCATTTAGTTTCATTCAGTCTTGGCCTTGAGTTCAGTTTCACTGACTCAGCAAAATACATAACTAACTTGTTTTTAAACAGAAACACTCATAAAAGAAAATGAGTTGATTGGTTGATAAAAATGTAACCAGGGGCTCACCGGGACCTAACCCTGTATTTCCCCTAGAAGCAGTTTCCCCTAGAATTCAATTTGTGGCTACTTTATACAACATAACTACCTTGAATAATGAGACTGGACATATATATGATTTACAGGATCATCTGACTACTCTGTGGAGAATGGTTTAGACCAAGAGAGGCAATTAGCAAGCTGGGAGACCAGCACATATGTGATTTTAAAATGTCCTACTAGTCACATTAAAAAGTTCAAAAAGAGGTGAAATTAATTTTAGGAATATAATTTAACACAATATATGCAAAGTATTGTTTCAATTTTTAGTCAGTATTAAAAAGTTATCAAAATATATTTTACTTTTTTCCCCCTGTGCTAAAGTCTTCTAAATCCATTGTGTATTTTATTTTATTTTATTTTATTTTTTTGAGTTGGAGTCTCACTCTGTCACCCAGACTGGAGTGCAGTGGCCGCTCCCGGCCACCGCAGCCTCCACCTGCTGGGCTCCGGAGATCCTTCCGCCTCAGCCTTCCAAGTAGCCAGAATTACAGGCAAGCGCTACCACGCCCGGTTGATTTTTTGATTTATTGTAGAGATGAGGTCTCGCCTACCCAGGCGGGTCTCGAACCTGCAGGCTCAGGCAATCCACTCACCTCAGCCTCCCAAAGGCGCGGGATTACAGGCTGAGCCACCGAGCCTGGCTCCATTGTGTATTTTATACTTACAGGAGATCTCAACTTGGACCAGCCACATTTCAAGGACGTATTAGCCTCAAGTAGCTTATGGTTACTGTATTATACAGCACAGGTCTAGAGCATTTCTTTGTTTAGTCATTCAACCAAGCAAGGTCTTGTTCTAGGCCTGGAAATATACAAAATGGAATAAAGCCCAATCTCTGTTCTCAAAGTGTATACAGTCCAGCTAGGGAGACTAATAATAGCTTATGTTGAAGGTGTTAAAAAGTGCTTTGAGCGTTCAAGGGACAGAGTACCAGAACAAGGAAGGCTTTAGAGAGGAGATAGGCAAATATACTAGGACTTGAAGGATGTGTAGGAGTTCCCTAAGTGAAAGAAGTAGAGAAGGGCACTCCAAGCAGTGAGTGCTTCTTATGCAGCATTGCAGATAAATGGAATGCACAGCATCTCTGGGGAAATGCAAGCAGTTCCATATGGTTGGATGGTAGGGCATGAAATGGGAGGGCAGATGGTGAGGAAAGAGGCCAGTCTGCAGAACTTAGAAG